CGCCAGGTCGGCGATAGTGCCAGGTCGCTATCTGGGACTCCATCATTTTGACTAAGGCAAGTTGTCGCCTAAGTGGTTGTAGGTGTCACCCAGTTGTTCCGAGATGCCATGTGTCATGATGTTAGTGGAGGGCCAAATCTGCCCTCATCAAACAATATTAAAACAGTTTATATATGTAATCAGATCTAGATGAGGCAGGACCAATGATGTTAATTTTTGAAAATAACAATATATCCAATTAATTGTGAGAAAAGAAGATGTAATCACTGTCTGGTGCAAGATAAAAAGAAAACTAACCATCGGCTTGGCTTTGCACATGTGTATTTGCCCACCCATCCCCTACGTGATTTAGGTTTCAAAGGAAATCAATTCATTAAAAAAAAAGAGAGAATGATGAATGATATGAAAATATGGAATAAACTGAAATTTGGCAATATAGTTGAAAAAAGAAAGAAGATTACTACAAGATCATAGAACAACACAAGTGGCCTTAGAACAGGAACCAGAGAGAAGAGATTTAATTAAAAACAGAACTAGTGCTTCAAAAACTGAGAAGTAGAAATCTTCTGACTAAGAAAAAATTTTGGGCACAAAGATTGAGAACCGTATGAATAGTTTCTTTCATACATCCACCACTATTAGAAGAAATCGAAACCGTATCACAAGAATAAAAAATGGAAATGAAGAACTGAATGGCGCTAGAGGACCCAAATGATATAAAGGAATTAATGATTTGCTCAAAAATTTGAAGAGGAGCTGGAAAGAGTAGTTGAGGCTAAAAATTCCTATAGAAAAGAAAAATGACCAGTATCTGGGAGTCCCTATTATTAATAGTAAAGTATCAAAGAATACCTTTTTCTAGAATTGAGGATAGAATCACAATGAGACTTGTGGGAAGAGCAACATTATTAAAATCTACAATTTATATGAGATCCCCCAGTACACCATGAGAGTATTCAAACTCCCAAAAGGGATTCTGGAAAAGCTAAGTAAAAAATGGAAAGCATTCCTTTGGGGTAAGAAGGACAGAGCTAGAATTCACCTTATGAAATGGGACACAATATGTAAATTTAAGGCTAAAGGAGGGTGGGGATTAAAAAATTGACAATGGATTAACGAGTCCCGACTAGCAAGTTCGGGGTGGAAAATCTTGACTCAACCTAATAGCCTATGGGTCAGACTAGTTCATGGAAAATATCTTAGGGGGAAAAACCTATGCGAAGTCTAATCCAATAGAAATATGTCCTGGGCTTGGAGAGGCATCTCAGAGGCGAGAGCATGGTTTTTAAAATCAGAACGGATTGGATGGTCGGACCGGAAAACCGGGAACTGGTCACTTGACTGTTCCATTTTTCCCAAAAACCGAATTTTCTTCCAAAACCGTTGATTTTGGTCAGCGAACCACTGAACCGAGCGATTAATCGTTTGAATCGTTCGAACGATTTTGACCATTTTTTTTTATCAGAATGGATCAAGCATTCGGTTCGAATGGTCGGACCCCTGACCGGTTCGATCACCATGTCGGTTTTAAAAACCATGGGCAAAAGACACTCTTAAAAGAGGAATAGTTTGGACCGGTGTGAAATGGTGCTACCATCAAGTTTTGGATAGATCAATGAGTGGGTAATGAAATCTTACAAAGATTCAGAAATCAACAAGGTACGTGGAGAAATGAAGCTTAATGAATTATTCACCCTCGGAAATCTAAACCAATGGGATAAAGAGAAGATCCTTTCTCTTGCTCCCCAGAGATATGGGGAAAAATTAGTGCTATCCCTATTCCATCAGGCCACAAAGAGGATGAAGTTAAGTGGAAACTGGATCCAAAAGGAATATTCAGGCCATGTTCGCTTTTCAGTAAGTTATTTATTTGGGTAAATGTAGTTATCTGGGTAAGTTTTTTCAGGAAAATACTTACCCGGATAAGTGCATTTATCCTTGTTCTTTTATTTCTCATGTAAATAAGGCAATGACCATTTTAGCCATAAAAATATATTATTAAAAAGGGCATTTTTGTCCCATTCAAGTATTGGCAATTTTCCCCTAGGTGGGAAAGTTATTTACCCAGTATCACTTACCCAGGAAAATACCCAAGAAAATAAACTTTCCCCGGTCTCCATATAAATTTGAAAAAAGAACATCGGATTCTTAATCAGTTGGAATCAAAATCCCATTGACCAACTTTCTCCCCTCTCAAAATCTAAATAAAAAAACACCCCCTCACTGTTAGGTGGACTTATGAGTTTAGAGAAGAAGAGTCAAACAATGAGCCTTTAAACCAGGATATGAGAATTTGGAATTAGAAGGTCTCCCCCGAATAAAAACTTCTTCCTATATCTACTTCTTAACAACAAGCAATTGACAAAGGCAAGACTACATAGATGGGGAATGAACAACAATGCTGAATGCCCTTTCTGTGGAGGGATAGAAGATGTTAATCATATCTTTTTATTCTGCGAAACCTCTAAAAATGATTCTAAGATGTAGTGAAAATATACTAGCTAGATTGATGGAGGTGAACTATGAATCTATTTAACCACCACCCACGGAGTAATGGAATGGAACAAAGTTTGCATGGATCTATGATATATCTAGAAAAACAGAAATTGGAAAGTGTTTGAAAACAAAAGCTGCCCAACCGAAGTACTAAGATAAATGACAAAATTTCATTTAAGAGAATACTTGCTACACAACACGAAGTGGAATATTCAACCAGAAATTCATTAAGTCAAGTAGTATACTTTAGTTAAATGGAATGAACCTCTACATGAAAATTAACTTCGGAAGGAGAATGGCCAGAGTGCAGTGGGGGTGGTTTAGAGGGACCATGAGGGTACCGTCCGTGATTTACATGAATTATCAACTCAGGGTTTCGGTCACCAGAATCAAGTGGCAACCCATCTCCTTTCCAATTTTTTTTTCATTTATTGGAAAAAAAAAATTCGATTTTAAAATATACAATAATTCAATTTTAAATTTGAGATTCGATATAATTGAATCGAATTCAGATATGACCTGATTCAATTCGATAAATATCTGAATTTGACGGATTATTTAATTCTTATATATAATATATAAACATTTTATGTAATTTATATATACAATAATTGAATTTTATAAATAATTTATATATTTATATACCTTATATAAATAAAATATTTATTTTATATTTATTAATTATCTAAAATAATTAATTGGCCAAATTCAAATCGAATCGAATATTCAAATATTTAATTAAATTTGAATTCAAATATCAATTTTCAATATCCGTCAAATATCAAATTTTCTAATCATATTCAAATTCAGATATTGTCTGATTCGATTTGAATTTGATCCATTTACAACCCTAGATGCGTGGGGTGTGGCCACCCCGTGTGGTTTGTAGTCTTCTGTAGTTTTCCAAGCTATCAAGAGAGAGAGAGAGAGACAGTTCGGTATATCGACTACCCATATGAATTGAATTCAAGATATATTTTGAAAATTTAAATGAAAATAAAAGATAAAAGAGTCACAAAGTATATTAAGTCTTTTTAAAAAACATAGGGTATGTTTAAGTCTTTTACCCTATTATTTATTAGGGGGAAATCTTTTAGATCTAGTAACTTTTAGGGAATGCAATAAAACTTCTAGAGTATTGTAATATTGTAATGCATTTTTGGTTATGACAATCCTTCAACTTTGATCAAAATTCCAATTTTGATCCTAATGTTTTTAAAAGGTCATTTTTGCCCTCAAATTATGGCGAAAAACCATTTTAAGGCAAAAATAAGGAACATTAGAGATGTTCACAATTCCCTTAGACAAGAATAAAATTTTTGAAGTCAAAAAATTATGTGGGTCCCACAAAATTCCCACCATTTATGTATAAAAAATAAATACAAAAATAATTGTTTTTATTTAATAATAAATTAACTAAATTAATGATTTTTTAATAAAAAATAATATGCCTCTTACAACTTCAGTAATTTTAAGGAAGAAAACAGGTGGGTCCCACTTAAAATTCCTACTAGTTCACATCTAACCAAGAATACAAAATAAAATTATTCTTTTTATTTACTAATTTCAAGGGGAAAAAACAAGTGGGTCCCACTTAAAATTTCCATCTATTCACATCTAAGGAAAAATAGAAATAAAATAATTATTTTTGTTTAATAATCAATTATTAATAAAATAATAAATTATTAATAAAACAAAAAAAAAACATCTACATCTTTGAATACTACCTTAGTCCAATGCGTATGTTAAAATTGTTTTTCCAATATTTGCGGTTCTAGTACTTCGAGTTCGAACATTGGACAAGTTTGTAACGACAAAATTAGTACATTTTGTATTGTGTATTGATGTAAATGTTGGATAAGGTTTCACATATTGTGGTGTATAATACAATTTCCTTTCCCATGTTAAACTACAAAATTGAATGCAGACGTATCAATGCTTGGGATGGAATACATCAACAGAGCCCATGCAAATCCCAGTAGCTCCAGTACTAAGATTGATTCTGTATCAAGAATCAGGTACAACTACCCACAATTAATTGTATATGTTCTAAAATTTCCCTGACCACCCAACTGAATCACCCCACCTTTCTGTCCAGTCTGCATATGCCATCTAGAATCTCAGTTTTTCCCTGGGATAAACACCATTTAGCCCAGCCCTCCGTTGCTGCTTTTGTTCTGTGTGTGTCTTCCGTATTCTCGCAGAAGGTACACTTGCCTCATCAATGTCCCCTCTGAAACTTCTCCTGTAACATGAAAAAAGGAAAAGAAAAACATTAAAGAGATCCTATTTAAATTGAACATAGCAAAACATAAGAATGACATGGTATTAGTATATACCTGATGCGAATTAGGAATAGTGCACCAAATAATGTAATCCCACCAGCAACTGATATTAGCACCAATTTTTTGCTGGACTTCTCACTCCCTGGTCTTTCTGAACTTGTCTTGTCTTCTTTCCTTTCTAAACTTTGCACTGCTCTTATGCACATTATTCCATGTCCTTCTTTGTCCTACTTCCAACCATTGAATTGATTATATGCCATTTCAACGGCAAAACAATGGATTAACTTACTCAACATGTCTACCCTACATGTACAAGCATTGAAAAGAAGAGTAAAATAAAGTGCTAGAATGAAGAAAAGCACATTACTGTTCCTCAAGAGCTCACCTTGTCATTATCTTTTATATAAGCATCATCATCTTCTAGATTTATACATGTTTGATCAACTGCCTGCAAATCATTGCCTATAAGATGCAGATCACCCTGATTTCTGCCAATATGTTCTAAATGTGGAAGCAGTGAGTGGCATGACTTTTCTGAAGATGATATCAGTAAGGTCATGGGAACATCACTATTTTGATGGAAAGAAGGTTCATCATCAGTCAAGTTGGCTTTCCACATATCTGAGTCACTGCTATCTTGAATTTCTTGAGCAGCATGAAATTGGAAAAAGGACTTGTGAAGATCAACAGGTATCTGCATTTCCCAATTGTACTTCTCATATTGGCGCATTGGATTATTAGTCTGGCTACCTAATTCTCCCGTATGAAAACCATCACTCACAGATAGGGTGGTTTTATCCTCAGAAGCATCAAGACCTGTTTGCAGTATCATAGAACTTTGATCTGAAATGTCAACTAATAAGGGGCTTCCATTGCAATGCTGTGCATGGACCCCTGATGAATTTACTCCGGGATCACAAGATAATGCTAAACTTGACTTGATAGAACCCTCTTCACTTTCAGTTATGGTCAAACTTGTCGAGAAGCTATTTGAGACCGTCCTTGCCTCCAAAGAGTTTTTGCAGCCATCATCACCTTCTCCAATCCCCTGCTTTAAGAAATGGTTCAAACCATCTGCATGCAAGTCAGAACATTCCTGTCCAATTGCAGCATCTGGCCATCCTTTAGAGGCATGGACCTCAACCCCGTTGCAGTAGGAAATATTATTATCATTAGGCTGTTGCAAACCACCACCATAATCAACACTACCAAGGGGCATAGATTTACAGCTTTTTTCACTCCCTGTAGCTGTTACTGTTACTGTTAGTTCTGCATTCAGTGCCTCATGAAAGAATGATGTTGACAGACAATTGCTTGAGTCTTTTCTTGTATACACATTATTCTTTATGGTGGAACTAGATACCTTATTGATAACACCTGCCTGTTTGAAGTTTGCATCATCAAGCCAAAGAGCATCTACTGAAGCTTTAGCAGAGTCGCATGCACAGTTTGGATATATGGTATGTGGTGGCACAGGTTCCAAAGGAGTAGAACTGTTACTCCCATTTGATATAGTTGCTATTTGATACCTGTTTTTAGCATCCCATCTGGTCTGAGTACCATTGGGAGGATCATATTGGCCTGACAAGATCTTGATGTGTTGGTTCCCATAAGCATCTCTTAAAACATTGGCATCTTTTAAGCTGTTGTTATGATTAGCTAGCAAGGTACTGGTGTTAACTTCTAAAACATCTGCATCAGTGTGAGACCTGTTGAAATTGACACCTTGTTGTAGAAAATGGTGTTTATCTCCAGTATAGGAGTATAATTGTGTGTCTGGAATTTGTGGGCAACTCTTGGTGGAATAACCATAATCTTCAGATGCCATAGCAACTGGCAGTTTATCAGCATATGGTGTTAAACCATCCACAAGAACATGATGTTCAACTATGTTTGAAGTTTCATGTTCAATTTCCAGGTTCTGATGCTCCAAAATCTGGCTTTTACAATCATCTTTTGCATTGAACCGCTGTTCAAAACCTAATTTTACCACTTTACCTGGAAAACATTTCATGTAACCTGTAGCAGACAAACCAGCATCTTCAATCCCATCAGAGAAACCCCTTCCAAGCCCATATTCTGAATTGGGAATTGCAGCTCGTTCATTACAAGCTGTATCCTTATACACAATTAATGCTTCATCCTTCCCTCTACCAAACAAGCCACAATGACCATTTTCAATTTTGTGATCACTTATGTCTGAAATATCCAGTTGACAGTCAATGCTACCTTTAAATGTATTTTCACCTACAGAATCTGCTACAAATGTACCATGGTTTCCCAGGTCAAGATCTTCATGATATCCCAATGTACAATTTCCAGGAGTACTTAAGGGATGTCTTACCCCTCCCCTTTTTAAGAGCTCTTCCTTTGTGTTTAGATCAATTTGAGACTTGGTGCATGAGGGGGATAACATAATATATAGCTGAGCAGCATCTAGTTGATGGTTATCATTTATCTGGTGATATGTTTTAGGAGAAATCATTGATTCTACCAAACCAAATTGTCTATAATGATTAAGTATGTTTCCATCTGTCTGTTGATCCCAAATATCTGAATGAAATATGTTTTCTGGAGGGATAAAGTTCTCTGCAATTACCGAATTTCCTCCAGGAGAATTCTCTACACTTGAAATCAAGAAAGACATATTATCACATGAAGCTTTTGAGTCTGGGCTATGAAAATCAATTTCCCTAAAATTGCTTTCTGCGTCATCAGATTCTTCAGAATATGAATCAGACTGTCTGGTGTAGTTGGCACCCCAGTTTTTCTACAGTGAATACATGAAGAATTATAAACAGAACAAGAATATTGAAAAAAAATGATAGTACTCCTGTAAATATAGATTGGAGATGCAGTTGATCATAGAAAATGATCCTGTCTAGAAAGAGGAATCCATGTTCTTTATTTAACATGATTACAATAGTGTGGCTCAGTGCTTACCTGCCTGTGATTTACTCTTGATTCCATGGATGGACTGCAACTGGCAGAACTTGAAGAGCTACACTGTGATAGCTCCAAGCTTCTGCAGATCAATCCAACCATATCAGTAGGCATCACTACTGTATAGGTAACAATATCAAAATCCGGAACCTGTCACAAGAAATCCTAGTAGAATTAGAATGAATGAAAAATCTATGGGTGCATAAAGAAAATACTTGAAAATAGAATTCTTATGTAACTTTTCTTACATTTAAATGCTTAGACCTTGCTTTCTTTGAGAGGGAGCGAATGCACAAACAAACTCTGCGAATATCTCTTTTCTCAACAACGTCTGATGGGGAGAAGAGATCAATACTAGTCAATCCCAAGATTTGACAGATCTAGATAAAGAGAAGTACTGGTTAGAAACCAACAGGCTACTTAAAATAGTTCATACAAATTTGAATCTTTTTTCTAGAAAAGGTAAAGTGTGATTATATTACTGAAGTGAAAGGGAGAAAACTCCCAATATAATGTGACTGTATAACACATGGGATATAACAAAATTCAAAAGGTATACTTGTTACAGAAAGAGAGTTGACCGAAATGTCAATAGCTTTAGCCCAGGAGAAAATCTTGGCAGTCATATTGCAGATGATGTCATTAGTTTGAGAGGACATGATTCCAAAGACTCTGTTGTTCCTTTCCATCCAGATGGTCCAAAGGACAGCAAAAGGAAGCACAAACTAAATCATGTTTTGAATGCTGGTCAAGAAACCAAAGATGGTTTGGGGGAAGGCCCAACTCAACTGTAAACCTTTTAACCAGATCATCCATCAATGAATTGGAGAATGATTGAATTAACATATTACATACTTCTGTGCTACTGAAGTAGGCAACAAATCAATATGAACATCATGAGCTGCCCCATGATAAAACCAGTTGTTTCTAAACCTCCTTGGTTCCTTCTTCCACAACCTGAGACCAGAGAAAGAAGAGGTAAGAGGGCCCCATGGAGAATTTGGTCAGAAATCCATATTAGAGTCCAACAACAATGGCTGAATTGATTATCTACATGAGTAAGGAGAATAAATTACCTAATAGAGAACATACCAAAAATCATCATACGCATCCCTTTTTTGTTTTCCATTGAAATTTCTTGATTTCATTACAAGAAAGTCTTGAGACACCACGGGCTTTTTTTATCAGTAGATATCAGGTGCACTAACTTGGTTTAAGTTGCAAATCCAGAATTGTTTTGAGAAGATTGTAAGGGAAAAAGAGAAGAAATCTGCACTTGAGGGGTGAATGTGTTGAGTCAGCAAAGGGAATAGCTTGTGGAAGGGAGTTATTCAAGCAAAATATGGCACAAGAAATGGGGGATGGGAACCAGGTCAAGCAAATCAGTTGTATGGATTTTTAGTGTGGTAAGGGATAAAAAAGCCCACAGTTTCTTTTGCAAGGGATTTAAGTTTGAAGTGGGAAGGGGAACCCGGTTTGGTTCTGGAAGGATTGTTGTGGAAACCATCTCTTGAAGGATGGATTCCTGGAGCTATTTGTGATAGCAGTTGACAAGGAAGTGAGAGTGGCTGACTATATGCACATCTCAAATGGAGAACGTGTATGGAACTCCCTTTTCAGAAGAGCCTTGAATGATTTGAAGATAGACATAGAACCATAGAACCTTTTGGAGGCCTGCTTCAGAAGCTTTATATCATGCAAATAGATCCTGGCATAGAAGATAGAAGACAGTGGTTGGAAGAAAAGTCTGGTCATTTTACTTTAAAGTCCTTTTACAACAAGTTGACCAGGGAAGAAGAGCAGAGTTTCCTATGGGTATAATCTGGTGCAAATACTTACCTTCAAAGGTAGCTTTTTGCCTGGTCTGCCTACTTAAATAAGATCCTCACTAAGGACAACCTGTAAAATAGAGTGGGGATTGATTCAGAAGATTGTGTCCTATGCAACAGGGTGGAATAATCTGCAAATCACTTGTTCTTGCATTGCAGCTTCACTTATAACATCTGGATGAAAGTGTTCAAGCTTTTTTTTTCAATGGATGCTGCCCAGCATCTGTAGAAGACTTTGTAAAAGGGTGATGGATCCAGTGCCTGAGCAACTGAGCAAGAAAGGAAGAGCCAATTGGAAAATAATTACAAGAGAAGTGTTTTGGGCTGTATGGCAGGAAAGGGATTTAAGGGTTTTTCAGAACAATGGTTGACAAATTGATGAAGTGTGGCAGAAAATAGTGGGCAAACTGTTTTCCTGGTCAACAGCTCAGTTAAGATTGGACAGATCAAATTATCTCTCTTTTTGATTGTGGCAATCTTTTTGTAAACACAGAAGGGATAGTGGTCTAATGTTCTTGTTTTGTATTTTCCTGTTGTACAGCCACTAGTTGTATAGGGGCTTTTCTATTTTAATAAAATTATACTTTACCTCTTCTCAAAAAAAAAGTAAGTGTTGAATATTTTTTTATGTTGGGGTTAAATACTTAACCCCCATCCAGTATCTGACAGTTACCTGGTCATACCCCAACTTTTCTGACAATCCAAAAACTACCCTTGTCAGAAAAATGTTTTATTGTTGACAGGTTTTGCAAAATGATATTTTACCCTGAGAAGAGTTAAATGTGAAAATGAGTCATGTGATCCATCTCTCACATCCGATCAGTGAAAACCACCATTGCCACAACTCCAGTAGAAATCAAACCACCACCATTGCAACTCCAATGGAAATCAAGCACTGCACAATGGATTTTAGGATCATGGGTTTCAATAACCCTTTATTCTTGAGGAAGCAAGAAATTAATTTTTCAGCATCAAAAGCACTGTGGCAGAAAAACTAAATTTGGGCTGGAACAGGAAAAGTATGTTCAGGAACTGTGCAGGAGACATATGGAAGGAAAGAAATAGAAGAATTTTTTAAGACAAAAATTGGAATCTGGACAAGATAGTGGCAGCTGTCAGCAATTCAGTTGCAGACTGGGTTCTGTTAGACTATGTTTTTTCTCTTTTTAACGAAATTACATCTTACCATAAAAAAAATGGTGAAGATTTGTCCAGTTTGTCAGAGTTTATTGCAGCAATGGTGAATGCACACATTGATAGTTGTCTTGATCAAGCATTAGGGAAGAATGTAGGCAAATGATAATGATAGTAACAGCAAAGTTGAAGATGAGAATACTATAGAAGAGATCTATTATGGAGATCTTTTCCATAACCCTGCAAATTAAAAAGGCAGAGCTTAAAGGTGATGGATAAACTGGAGGTCTGAAAAAGATTTGGATTCTAAGAAATTTGTGGAAGCATTGGATATGAGGATATCATTGTGATGCGTATAAGAAAGCAGAAAGCAATAGAGCAAGCATTACTTTTGCGAGAAGCTGAGGTTGAAGAACAAGAAAATGAAGAAAAAAATGATTCTAGAGCTATTGATCCAACAAAAATGTCCAGCAGGGACCTAAGAAGGTATGCAATTTTTTAAACTTTTTTGTTTCTTATTTCGGCTTTTTGGTTGCCCAGCTGGCATTTGTCACTTGTTGCCAACCAGTGAGCCCCATGTACAATTGCTTGAGTTGTTCATAGAATTTAGACATTGCTAGTTTAAAGCAAAGACTTGATTTATTTGCCTTTTGGTAGAGCATTTATAGTGAAATTTTTTAAGGGTATAAATCTATACGACTGATCAACACGGTTTTTGTGGTTAGAATGGAACAAAATACAATGAAAGAATCAGGAAGATTTGATTTCAATGAAAACTAAAATGGGATGGGGTACTTGTCTCAAGGCTCTTCATGGATTTTGACAGTTACTGTTCTGTTCTAGATGACCAGTTTTCAGTTTTATCAATGGATTTGAACTCAGTTACTGCTAGGCTCATTGTGTCGCTTGTGCTTAATTGGAGATAAACCCTTTTGACTTCTGCTCTCACTCCATTCACACTTGGTGCAAGCTATTTCAGCTTGATTATCAACACAGGGCAAAGATTAGACAAATCTTATGCCAAAGCTAGTTAATTGCAGCTAGACTAGTAATAAGAATAGTCACAGCATTCTCAGCCCAAGAACACTTAGGCCATGTTTGGTTCACTGCTCTGGGCTTCATTCTTGTTCATTCTAATCAAGAATGAATAGCATTAGAGTGTTTGGTTACAAAATTCTTGCCACGAGTCACATTCTTTTTAGAATGAAAAATCAGCCCCATAGCACAAAAATTGAGTAGCCTGCACTGCAGCATGAAAAATAATCATGCCCCATCTTGCTCATTTTTATTCTTTGAAGAAAACTTGCCTACAAAACTGTTGCCATAGATATTTACTTTTACAAAAGCACTTTTACATGAAAGCAATTTATGAAAGCACCTTTATAAAAGTACTTTTACATGAAAGCACTTTTATAAAAGTAAATTTATGAAAAGTACTCTTACGAAAGCATTTTTGCATTAAAGCACTTTCATAAAAACACTTTTACGAAAGCACTTTTATAAAAGTACTTTTACTAAAGCACTTTTACGAAAGTAGCACTTTTACGAAAGTATTTTTACCAAAGCACTTTTAGGGAAATACTTTTTTTTTGAAGAATGAAAAGGTGCAACATAGGACACTTGTCAGTTTGAAAAAAAATTCATTTTTAGGAAAAAAGTATTTGGTTCATAGCAATATTTTCTCATTCTGCCTATTTTTACCCATTCTCATCTTGGGTAAGAATGAGAAAGAATCAGAATTGAACCAAATATGGCCTTAGTCTCTTCCTATCAAATCCTATCAAAGCCAAAGACAGCTCCATAGAGCTGGTTGAATGGCATGTGTACAAGTCATAACAGTACATGTTTCAATGCATGCCTATGAACTGAGCTTTTGAAATATATGCTTAGTGGTTTCAAATGGAGGAAGTGCGATTCCAACTATAAAACTGACATGGTTGGTCATCATTGATAGATGATTCCAATATCTGAAAGCTGATGGACATAGTAACAGCAAAGAATAAAAAGAAAAACAAACAAAAACAGGACAAACTCTTTGCTCCCTTTCTTTCTTCTATTTCTTTTTCTTCTCTATCTTCTGTTTTCTCTGTACACCATGTATAGAACTTGTACAATTACAAAATCTAAAACAGTTGTGCCCATGCCATATGCACATGAATGTGTAACAACTACAGCTATTAATAACCCAACATGGATGCTGAAGACCATTTTGTGCATTGCATACCTACTAATGGAAACGTAATTATGTAGTATACTAGTAATTGTTTTCATTTATTTATAAACTGTTATTTATTATTTATCTACAATAGTAACTCTTTACTCTTCAGTATGAATATAGAACATCGCTATCAAACCTACAAATGTTGACCTACACATAGGAGTTCACAACAATGTTTTAAAATGCGGAGGCATGACGCGAGGCATTCCACTACCTAGAGGCGTGAGGCGTAGTTCAGAATGCAAGAGGCGTAAGCCTCCCGAACACAAGGAGGCATAAGCCTCCTTAAGAGGAGGGGGGTTAGGAAAAGGAAGGGGGGATTTCACTTTTCTTTATTTTTAATAAAAATCTTTTATATTAAGAACAATAAAGATGCATAACATTCCTTCCCCTTATCTTTTCTTCCCCTCGCTTTCCTTTTCTTTTATTTCCTTTTCTCTTTTTTTCTCCTCTTTCTTTTTCTTTCCCTTCCCTTTCTTTTCCTTTCCTTTCCTTTTTTTTTTCTTTTTTCTTTTTTTCTGTCTTTTTATATAAGCTGTGCATGAGGCACATGAGGCATACGCCTCTAGCACGCCTCATGAAAAAAGCACATGAGGCGAACGCCTCAGAGGTGTCAGCGCCTCTAGCATACACCTCAGGGCGTTTTGAGAGCACCTCGCCTGGAGGCGCGCCTCCAGGCATACGCCTCCCACGCCTTTTAAAACACTGGTTCACAATTCTCTCTCCAATTTAAATGAACTCCTTTTACATGTATCTCATAAAAGCTACATTTTAACAATATCATTCATTATCAAATAAGATATATTTTTTATAATTTATAGTTGTTATTGGAACATGGGATAACTCATGTGTGAACCTGTGTCCATGCAAGTATCCATATGTGTCTGTGGTTAGAGATTAAAACTGCATCCCCAGCTTTATGTGCAGTCAGGTGTGGAGCTATGATACTCAGATATACATGCCTAGCATACCACTGTTGGATACCATACTTGTAGGATACAATACCAGATATTGCATATATTAACAAATTATACTATAGAATGATCTGAACATCTTAGGAATTTAATTAAACTTGACAAGATATGTCTTCTGAAATGAAATTTAGCTCCAAAAATTAGATATAAATGCATGATATAAGTACATTACATATGATACCCTTACTTGTATCTGTGTACAGGATTTTAGGAAATGGAGAGTTGAATCCCTGTTTCCATATCCATGTCCATGTCTGTATCTGTATTTAGGCATCATAAATTTGGAAAAATATGTCTCCAAAAGAGTGGAGTCAAGGTTCTGCAGTGGCAGTGGCATCATATTTTGGACATTCTTCTAAGTCACAGACCATGTTATAGCCTTATTGGTACTCACTACTCCCACTAAACCTTTTAAGAAGCCATTTTTCTCTAATTCCCCCATCTGAAGCTGCATCAATTTCTCTTTCACTTCATTCCACTAGGGCATCAAGTCAGGGATCATGATAACTAAAATATGTTATCTTCTAAAACTAGAATTAGTATCTTCTTTACCAGTTAACTTGTAAATGTTATTTCTTGTGTGTGGTTTAGACATTTCATATATCTTAAGAGTAATTGCATCTATGTGGTATTATCATTATTTAAGTGCAAACTTCCTACTTGTTGTCTTGATTAATTTTTATTTTTTAAGTTAGAACATAATAGAATGAGCTTGCAAATTGCAATACAGAATTATGTGTCAAAGAGCAGTAAATACAAGGACTTTGCACTAAATTCAACACATCAATGTACTGAATGAAATAACCCATACTCATCAATAGATTTACCAATAAGATGCCATAAGTTTTACTTAATGGAGCTCACCTTCAAAAATGAGTCAACTTTGGAATAAGGCATGTACCTCCCTCTGCCCTTCCCATAAGCAATTGGTTCATATATATACGCTTTTGAATATCTTAGCTCCATACACTTAGTCAATAGCATTTTCCATATCACCTTAGACACTTGAAACCTAAACAAATAAGAAAACGAGATTTAACCAATGATTATGGACAGATTTCAGGATATACAACCCTCAGCCCTCGTATATGTATGACAGACCTTCGCATATCATTTTTTTTTCTGAGAAAAGTTAACATCCATTTCAAATCAAAAGGGGGGTATATCAAAATATGTACAGCTAAACAAAGGAACAAAACCCACCTGAGGAAATACTAAGTGCAAAGAATTAGCACTATACAAAAAATCCCTACCCACCCCTGATTTTGCTAAAGCATCGGCAATGTATTATTTTTTCTGGTAATAAGCATCAGCCATGTGATTCATTCGTAGAGGCAGCCCATCACAAGGTCCCCTTTACTACTGGACATACCTCAACCTGCAAAGCTAGTGTTTTAGATTCATCTTTTACATCCAACGTAAAATTGCAAAAATGCAGTCGATGATATCTGACTGATTTTTTTCTCGATATTATGCTTATGGCGAGTGATTTACATAAACCCTTTAATGACTCCAAGTTCCCATTGAATGATATTAGGTTTTCTTTCTCTTCTTTCTTTCTCTATCTTCTCTCTAGTTCTACAAACAACCATTACAACCTCTAACAGCCAATAAATTCTTCACCAAATGAGTTCATTCAACATTCTCAGAGGACTAATATTGATCTAAATACGCTTTCTCATCAAGCACCCTTTGGAAAGTGGCAACTTTCATAGGTAATGTATGGAAATTTAAATTTAAATCATCCAACCAAATTTTATCAACAATTGATAATTTAAATTTTAACATAGAAAGTATCCCCATTATATTCCTATCCCACTGCATGGCATATGGGTATTTGGTGGACCATCTCCTTGTGCACTGAGATTTTTCTAGAGCAGTGTCAGTAGAGCTTTGGCCCACCTTGTGTTGTCATGGCTCAGTGTGATTGGTGCATGGTTAGCAGTGTGAGGTCCAGACCAACAGTTATCATATACTATAAAAATGGTCCTTTTGGAATTTCTTGGTGTCTTTAGAAAACATATGGTAGAATAACATTAAATAATTGAGCAATTTCATGTTATATGGTGATAGAAAAGGCAAAACAGCATTTCTGTTTTGGGTCCTTATCTCTTGAAAATTCCATTGATCTTTTCTTCTTATTTGTAGGCAAATTGAGATTCAATTCCTTATGGTCCTAGCGAGTTTATAAAGTTGATAAATAGCAGATATTGCTCAAGTCTAGCTTTTGTCTCTTCTGGATGGATTTTATAGCTTTGGCGTTTTGGCTTTTGCTTGTCAATGGTTTCTCAGCTTGTCAAAAGACAAGAGATGAAAAGTCGGTTCATGTGGTCAGTGTGTACAGATGCAAAACATCACATACTACAAGAAATTAAAGTTTAACATAACTGTGCTTTATATATATATTGACAAAGCAAATGCAGCATATATTTTAAGTGCCACTCTAAATGATCTGTCAGAAAAAAAAAAAAATGGTATAATAATGAAGAATGGAACAAGATAGTCTTATTGTTGAAATAGACATGGTTCCAATGGCTGAGCATTTCTTGTGAGTGAATGGAAACAACCTTAGAGAGACCAATCATATGACCTAAGGGCAGTCCAATGCATGAGGCTCCCGCCAATGTGGGGTCTGGGGAGGGACAGATGTACACAGCCTTACCCATGCACATACAGAGAGGCTGTTTCCAATTATATGACCTATTTCCATTTATTTCCCAAAAAGCCAAAGAGTTCAAGCAGAAGATGTATTTCACATTTATTTCCATTGTCTATGTGACAAGTCTAAGAAAAAAATCCATAGGAAACTTGAAGGGCATACAATAATTCCCCATCAGCAAGTAAATCAGCAATTGTTGTCCCTTCATCCATTCTTGTATGTAAGACTTCTCCAAGCCATATTCTTGTTTGAGTCTGCACAGTGAACAAGCCAAACAGTAGAAATGTAAATAAAACTGTAGCTAATAATCACATTTAACATAACAATATTATTATAATGTCAGACAGTATAATTTAGTCAAACCACTTTCATGCTAGACAAATTGTGTTTTAATTGATAAATCATTATAACCCAATTTGTTGGACTCAAATTTTACCAGATCTTCAGTTTCTAGCCTGAAGACAGTAATAGAAAGGAAATGCCAGCAGAAAGGTTTAATAGGACAATACATTCTAAAGGAGGAATTTACTTAGAAGGTATCAAAGCAGCAGTTCTAGAAATAAATTGCAATGCCCTTTTACCACCCTAAAGAAAAGAAAAGAAAAGAAAATATGCCTCCTGCAAGTCTTCTCTTAACCTTTTAACCTCTCTAAGAATAGGGGTGCAAATGGATCGGATCATGATCCAAACCTAAGTCCGATCCTATATTGTTGGATTTGGATATCCCTGTTTCGGAATTTCGGATCAGATTTGGATCACCCCCCTATCCGATCCTATATATATATATATATATATATGTATATATGATATTTATTTATTTATAAATACGTTATTTATATTGCATTTTTTAAATTTTTATATTATTTATTTTTTAGAAAAACATGTATATATATTGATGAAAATAGTTGAAAAAATACTTGTATTTTTGTTTTACTTTATTTAAACAGTTATATTTTCTTTTATCTGATCATATATATATATATATATATATATATATTATATGATATTAATTTATTTATAAATATGTTATTTATATTGCATTTTTGTAAATTTTTATATTATTTATTTTTTGTAAAAACATGTATATATATATATATATATATTGATGAAAATAGTTGAAAAAAAACTTGTATTTTTGTTTTTCTTTATTTAAACAGTTATATTTTCTTTTATTTTTAATAATTTTTTGATTTTTTTAAAAATTAATTCAGATCAGATTTGGATATCCAATATCTTAATCAGATTCAAATTCAAATCAGTATTTATGAGATCTGATTGGATCAGACCTACAGTGTTTCAGATCGGATTCGAATATACCCTGATTTGGATCTGATCCGATCCGTTTGCATCCCTATCTAATAATATGTTTCATCATTGAATCATATTCTCAGTTTACATTTCCCCGCAACTCCCTCCAGAAATCTCTCTTCTTTTAAGTAGTTCCCTGAAAATTCAAATGTAGTGTAGTGAAGAGTGCTGACTCCACCCAAATGGCTAGGAAAAGTTGTGCATGCAAGGCTCGTAAGGCATATTTTGCATGTCTTACATGTTCATTGTCATGGAGTTGCAATCATGACCTAGGAAAACCCAGTGGACTTGATCAAAATTAGGTCATTCCAACATAGTATGACAGGAAGCTGCATATCTTCTCAAAAAGGGAGCAAAGTAGAGTTCTGAAATCCCAGAACAGTTTTTTTTATCAGAAACAAATATGAAGTTTTATTAAGTTTAAACAGAACAATACATTTGTACAGAAAGAGGACATAAACAAGCTATCCCTCCCCACATAGAAATTTGCAAGTTGCAACTTTGCCCAAACCAATTGATTTCTATTTCACCCCTTTCTTAGTTAAATTGTCAGACCAGTTAACCATTCTTGGAACCTGATGAGGGCAGATTTAGCCCTCCAGTGAAATTGCGACACGTGGCACCTCGTGACAACTAGGCAAACACCCAGGC